CCCGTTCTGCTGCGGCGTATAGGGGCAAGTGAGGTCGTGCTCAATCCCTTTCTCTTCGAGGAACTCGGTGAATTTACTTCCCAAAAATTCGCCACCTCGATCGGAGCGGAGAGCCTTCAACGAAGCCTCACACTGCCTTTCTGCACGTGGAAGCCACTTCTGGAAAACGCGCAGAGCATCGCTTTTCTGCGCAATCGGGTAGATCCAAACGTAGCGAGATTTGCGATCCTTGAGCAGAAGAAAGTAGCGGCTGCCATCTTTCGCAGGAACTCGGAAGGGCCCGCAGAGATCGATGTGCACTACTCCCAGCACCTTCTGCTCTTCACTCCCCTCTTGAGGGAAACTATGCCGAATAAGTTTTCCCCCCACACAAGAAACACACGGTAGATCAGGGTTGGCTGACTTGTCGATATCCAAGCCTGTCGCAGCCCCATGCGTCGCTGTCTGCTTGATTGTTTCGACGCCCGCATGGGCAAGTCGAGGATGCCACACATCCATCTTCGCCCGTGTATCCGTCGCCAATGTTCGCAGAGCAATCGCCTCCCCTGCAGAGTTCTGCAGCGGCCACGCCGGAGATCCGTACTGAGCACTCGTCCTCGATAACGAGCGCGTCCAAGGACCGTTCCGTCAGTAGAGAGAAGGAGGGTCTCTTCGCCTTCATCCTTCAGCTTTACCCCACAGTCCTTCAGCTGACCTGCAGACAACAGATTCGCATGGATTCCAGGTACGTAGAGCACATCCGGAATCAAAATCTGCTTCCCAGCTTCGCCGCGCAGAGCGATTGTTCCGCGACCGCGCACTGGTTGGAATGCCCTGTTGAAGCCACGGACTTGTTTAATGTCGCCACCTTCATGCATTTCGACAAAGACCGCATCATCTCCCATCAAATGATGGGAGCACTCGCTGTCAAGAAGAACAACAGCAGGATCGGCTTCGACGGCTGCAGCAATCGCCTGAAAATCCTCACCATCTTCTGCGTTCAGCGAAATGAGTAGATCGGTCGTCTGCAGCTGGCCGACAACTGGTCCCACCATTGAGCAAGAAGGGCCCTTCTTGTTGGTCGAATTGGAGTTGGCGCTCTGTGTTCCCGACTTCGACGAAATCTCCGTCTGCGCAGGAGAATTGTCCTTCTTGTCGGCGCGTTTTTCGCACAGGAACGCAAAATGTCCGATTTCTCCACAGACCCAGCAAGGTTTCTTCGAGCTCCGCTTGTTGTTCGGCTGTCGACCATCTTTCTTCAGCTGCTCTTTGTTCGACGACTTCTGCTCCGTAGAACCGCCTTATGTCGAAGATGACCAACGCTTCTGCTGCTGCTGCTGCTGTTGCCCCGTCAACGCCCAGTTGACTTGTGGCAGAGGTGATTCCTTCCGCTTCTCAAGCTCGAGCGTGCACTCCTCTGAGATAATTCTGCTCGTCAAAGTATTTTCGTCGAGGGTCTTGCAGTTTTCCGGAGATTGTAGCATTCGTCGAAGGTACTTGTACTCCGCGGGAAGTCCTGTGAGGACATGAGTCACATACGAGGCCGTCGAATAGTTCACGCCGGCCATTCGCAGATTAGCAAGAATCATCTGCGCACGGTTGCGATAGGTCGTCGCCGTCTCATGCTCCGCCATCTCTAGCGTCACCAAGCTCTTCTCCAACTGGCCGATATGGAGATAGTCCGTTGCTTTGTAGGTCTCCATGATGAAGCGCCATGCCTGGTAACCCGCGTCCACTCTAAAACGACATGATTTCAAGGCGATCTTCACGGATGGAGAGTAGCCTCCGCTCACTTAGACTGTCGATTCCCTCGAGGATATCCTCATTATCCTCCATGCTAACAAGCTAAGTTCAATGAGACCTAACGTAGAAGAACGGGCTCTATGCGTGTTCGATCCACGCTCACCGCACCATGCAGAGATTTCTGCTCTAACGGGAGTTGGAGCTCTACGGAATGCTATCTCTGCAGCCACGCAAACTTTGTTGTTCACTAAAGAGAAAAATTTGGTTAAGTCCTTGAAGGCACAGAGTTGACACACAAAGAGAATTCACTAGAATAGTATGAAAATAGAATACAACAAGGAGGGTGAAATAGAAGCTACCCAACCAATGAACCAAGAAGAGAACGTTCACACAAGAACGTTTAACTAACTACTTTTAGCTGCGCTTTGCCAAGTCAGCGTCGGCAGGTGAAAATTACAACACGTGCGTAGTTGGTAATTTTTACCTACTTGAAAGTAGTTGTTAAAGCTGTTCAGGTTGTTTTAAACAACTTCTGTAACGCACGTTTTCGGGTGAGTGCGCCCATAACCCCCCAGGCCGCCATGCCTGTAACCCTTCCCTAGGATCAATCGGGGATCACCAGTGGACCTCTGACAGTATGACCCACTAAGGGCTATAACATTTGACACACCCCCATAGCCTAAGTGGGGAATGCCAAGTAACAGAACACAACCTAAGGTCACAAGACCAGTCACAAGCAAGCGAGAAAACAAAGCTCAGGGTGGATCTCAACGTCACCACACATTCTGAGCACAAACAAAGGGCCACAAGGCCAGTTCAAGAGTGTACAAGCTAATATATATATGGTACAAACAAGCAAGAGGCAAGAACTCACTACTGCAGTCTACTAGACCCAGTCTCAACAAGGCCTAACTGCAGACAAAACCGGCGGTGGTCACAAGGCTGAAGAGCCTTGGTGAAGATGTCTGCAGTGTTGGCCTCGGAGGCCACGAAGTCCAGACGTGCCTGTCCACGTCTCTGCAACTCTCGAAGGAGGAAGTACCTGACGTCGATATGCTTCACCCTGCTCTCCAGTCGAGGCTCACGACACAGGAGAATCATCGCCTTGTTGTCAGCAAACAAGGTCGGTGCAGAGCTCGGCCGCTCACCAAGGTCAGTGAGCAAGAAGGTCAACCAGCGTAGCTCCTGTGCAGCGAGGGCTCCAGCGTAGATCTCGGCCTCTGCGGTAGAAGTCGCAACAGAGGAGGACCGAGTAGACCTCCACGAAACAGCTCCAGAGCCCAGGCTGAAACAGTAACCCTGTGTAGACCTCTGTGACTCAACGTCGTCGGCGTAGGAGGAGTCGCAGTGACCGGTGAGTACAACTGGCTGTGTCCCTCCAAGTACAAGCCCCATGTCTGATGTCGCGCCGAGGTACTTCGCCACCCTCTTAGCTGCCGCCCAGTGAACAGGACGGTGTCTCCCTGTCGCAACAAAGCGAGAAAGGATGCTAAGAGGGAAGGCGAGGTCCGGGCGAGTGCACGTCATCAGGTACATGAGGCAGCCCACCAACTCTGCGTAGGGACCACTGGGCTCGAACGGCTCGTCAGGAAAAGGCCCAGTGAGTCTGTGGTCTACAGCAAGAGGGGTGGGAGGAGGAGAGGAGTGCTGAAGCCCGAATTGCTGAAGGACTTGCTGCACCATGTGTGACTGAGTCAGAGTGATGGTGCGAGCGGCTCTGTCCCTGGAGATCTGCAGGCCAAGGTAGCGGCGCAGTTCCCCAAGGTCAGTGCAGGTGTGTCTCTTCTGCAGTTCGGACTTCACCTCCGCCAGTGCAACTGTGTCGGCTGTGGCAAAAACCAGGTCGTCAACGTAGACAAGAACAAAGAAAGGTGTGCGCCCACGACGAACAAACAGCGACGGGTCGGCGGAAGACGGCTCAAACCCAAGGTCGGACAGAGTAGAGCGGAGAGTGTCGTGCCACTCACGGGGTGCCTGACGGAGACCGTAGACCGGTCGTCTGAGGCTCCACTGGGTCCCAGGCGGGAAAGTGCCAGTGAAGCCCGGAGGACGACGCAGCCAGATCTCCTCGTGTAGGCTGCCCTGCAAGAAGGCAGTGGAGAAGTCGAGAGAGTGTAGCTCGTAGTCTCTCTGCGCTGCTACGTGCAGTAACACCCGAAGAGTGGTCATCTTCGGGGTGGGCGCAAAGGTCTGAAAGAAGTCAACTCCCTCACGCTGACTGAAACCTCTAGCCACGTAGCGTGCCTTGAAGACTGGAGGAGATCCCGGCGGCCGCTTCACCTTGAAGATCCACATGCCGTCAACAATGTTCGCCCCTGGGGGGGGAACCTCGTCAACGTAAGTGCCTGTGGACCTGTAGGAGGCCATCTCTGCGTCCATGGCAGCTCTCCACTGAGAGGCCCAAGGCCCTGACACTGCCTCAGCGTAAGTGCGAGGAGTAGGTATGTCAGGAGCGTCGGGGTCTCCCTCAGGAGCGAGCAGCATGGCACAGAGATGAGGTGAAGCGGCTGCCAGGAACTCTAGCTCAAACTGTCTATCCTCTAGGACGGCACAGCCAAGGGCAAACTCACCCCCGGCGGACAGAGGACGGACAGGAGGAGCCGCCACAACGCGAGTGGCGTAGTCAAGGCGACGCGTAGCAGTAAAGTCTGTGACAGCGGCAGTGAGGACCGCGACGGAGGAAGGAGAGGCACGAGGGTCTGTAACAAGAGAGGCGAGAACACGAGAGAGAGTGGGGCGGTACGTGCGGTAGTAGTCAGTGACCGGAGTGGACAGGGAGGCAGTGAGGGACGACTCAGGAGGACGAGGAAGAACAGACGGAGGAGAACGAGGAGGACTAGGACGAAACAACACGGTACGAAGGTCACGGACAGGTGACGAGGGACGAGCACGAGGAGGACGAGAGGCCCAAGTGTGGGAGAGAGGAGTGGGAGACGGAGCGGGAGACGGAGGAGACTGAGAACGAGGGAACACAGCCGGAGCTGAGTCCGGAGGAGGAAACGTCGGACCGAACACAGGAGGAGAGGAGGAGGGGAGACCAAGGGCCCGAAGGCCAGTAACAGAGGCCGGAGGCTGCTCCGGCTGCTGTGGCAGCTGCTGCTGCTGCTGCTGCTGCTGCGGCGGCTGCTGCTGCTGCTGCTGCTGCTGCTGCTGCTGCTGCTGCTGCTCCCGCTGCAACTCCAGCCTCTCACGCTCCACCCGCTGCTGAACCTCCAACCTCTCACGCTCCAAACGCTGCTGCTCCTCACGCTCAAGACGAAGACGGGTCTGGTGTCGAGTCAGGTAGGGGTGAGGAGGAGGAGTAGTTTCAGGAGACGAAGAAGAAGAACCGGCTCCGCCCTCGACAGCACCCGGCTGAGAACCCCCAGAGCGTGTACCCCCTGCGGCAGCACGACTAGCACCTGTAGGAGGTGGACCCGCACCCCCAGTCGGGGTGCCTCCAGTGGCACCAGCACCAGCCTCAGACTCTCCAGCTCCAGAAACACCACCAGCTCCAGCACCACCACCAGCTCCAATACCCTCGGAACGGGCAGCCGCGGCAGGTGCACGCTCAGCGCCAACGCCAACACCCCCAGAACGGGCGGCTCCTGTAGGTGCACGAACAGCTCCAACGCCAGCACCCCCAGAGCGAGCACCGCCAGAGCCCTCACCCCGAGCACCAACACCCTCAGAGTCCGCAGTGGCCGGTAAAGGAAGCGCTGACGGCTGCTGCGGAGGCTGTGAGGACGACTGTGGGGAAGGAGGAGAGACCTGGGGGGGTACCGAGGGGGGGGGAGTAGCGTGGGACACACCAGACGGAGCAGGACCAGGGGGGGGTACCGGAGGAGCAGGGGCGGGAGGAGGAGGAGGTGGAGCCAGGAAGGGGGGGGGGGGGAACCGGGAGACCTCGAGAGGGGTACCTGACGTAGTAGGGGACGGACTCGTCGAAACGGACGTCACGAGAGTCAAAGAACCGGTGGGAGGGTGGGTGGTAAAAGGTGAAGTCAGAGGAGCCCTCTGGGAAACCAAGGAAGACACAGGGGACGGCGCGAGGCGAGATCTTGTCCGCAGAGGTGTCGCGGACAAGAGCCAAGCAGCCCCAGACACTAAACCTCGACGCAACACCAGGGGACCCTGTCCAAAGACTGGTCGGTGAAGCCCCTGGCCGAGAGACGCGAGGCCAGAGGTTCAGCTGGTGAGCGGCGTACCGAGCCGCGTAGGGCCACAGAAAATGGGGCGCGCGGGCGTGGATCATGGAGGTGCGGGCGATCTCCATGACCAGGCCTATGCGGCACTCAGCAACCCCATTCTGCTGTGGAGAGTCTGGGAGAGTCCAGGACTGGGTGATGCCCTGCTCAGCACAGAAACTGGCGAGAATGCCGGAGCGAAACTCACCCCCACGGTCGGAGTGGAGACAACTGACACGACGACCACGAGTGCCCTCGGTGGCGAGGAGCCACCGGATCAGCGTAGAAGTCACGTCGGACTTCTTCGCCAAGGGGAACACGGTGGTGTACCGAGAGTAATCGTCAACGACCACCAGAAAGAAACTCTCCCGCTCAGGGCCAAGGCGGGAGGCGGGGCCCCAGACGTCTAAGTGGAGTGTCTGGAAGGGCTCGGTGGCCGGACGAAGGGAGGAGGAGTGGGGGGTGGCGCGAAGCCGACCCTGGACACAAGGACCACACGGAGGAGCTGGGGACGGCGGGAGTGGTGGGAGGACTCGGGGGAGGCCTAAGACAAGACGCTGACTGGACATGGCGCGCAGACGAGGAAGGGACGGGTGCCCCATCCGGTGGTGCCACAGAACAGTGGGGTGGGCAAGCGACCGACACGAGCACGACGCAGCAACTACACCTGACACAGCAACCTGACTGGACCCGGCTACCTGGTGGGACGGGGGAACCTGACGGGGGTCGGTGCGGAGGGTGTACAGACCAGAGCCCGGCTCCTGGCGGAAAGTGGCCAAGGGGGCGTACGTGTCACCGTCGACGCAGACTGCGGTGTCACCAGAAGGCTCAACCCAGACCCCGACGTGCTGTCTCGCCAGGGTGCCCACACCAACCAGGTTCCTAGAGAACGTAGGAACGTGGAGGCCGGTCAGGGAACCAGAAGGAGCAGCTGGGCACGGGAGTGTAGTGGCGTGAGTCGCAATGACCGGTCCCGAGGAGGGATCGGCCAGTGCTACAGGGACAGGTGCCGGTAGCGGAGAGAGAGTCGTGCGGTCGCGGAAGAAGCAGTGCGACGCTCCTGAGTCCAGTGTGAAGGAGAGAGACGCGTCCGCCGAGGGAGTACCTGTACTAGTAGCTAAACAAGATCCTACACTGGCACCTACTCTAGCAACAGGCAAGTACACAGATCCAGGAGCACTATAGTCAACATCAGCATATGACCTAGCATCATCCATAGTCATATCAAAAACAGCAATGCCACGAGCAAGAAGCGTCCCCCAGCGTGGCGGCGGGGGAGCAGAGGGGCCGTGGTGGAAACGGTAGAGGTCGTCGAGACGACTGAAGCAGCGTGCAGCAGAGTGGTCGGGGCGGCCACAGTACGAGTCCCGTCGAGGACCCGTAAGGATCCAGTACTCACAGGGACCAACGTCGCGGCCGGCCGAGCGAGGTCCCCGACTGGAGGGGGGGGCACTGCGCCCAGTGCTCGGGGGACCCACAGACCTCCACTGCTGCTGAGGGCCCCACTGCTGCGGAGGCCCCCACTGCTGAGGCTGCTGCTGCGGTGGGCGCTGCTGCTGGCCCTGTCGCTGCTGCTGCGGTCCCTGCTGCTGCTGCTGTCCAAGCTGTGGCAGCTGCTGAGAAGTCGGCTGCTGCTGCTGCTGCTGGAACCCCCCACCACCAGTGATAACTCCACCGTCGAGAGGAGGACCGTCAGGGCCCGAGCCACCCCCACTACCACTCCCACCACCCACCCCACCGTCGCCACCACTACCCACACCACCCCCAGTACCCCCGCCCTTCCCTCCCTTCTTGCTAGCCTTGCCACGTTTCTGTCCGCCAGAGACAGAAACAGCCGCCGTCTCCTCAGAGGCAGAAGACGCGGGGATGGCAAGGGAGGCAGTGAAGGTGGGAAGCTGTGGTACCGCACACCCCTCAAAAAGACGAGGAGGAGGTGCTGAGGAGGCAGAGGCAACTGCGAGGAGGTTACTCTCGATCTTCGAGAGAGCGGTCTCAAGAAGATCGATGGTAAGCTCAGTGGGATGCTTCAGAAGAAGCGCGTCGCGGGCTGTGGCTAGGCGGTCAGGGAGGCGAGTGACTAGCCAGTGAATGGTGAGCCACATAGGGGGCGGGGCAAGGGCAAGCTGGTCCTCAGTGCAAGCAGCACGAAAGCGAGTGTCAAGGGAGCGCAGGTGGGCAGTGAGGTCAGAGACAGTCTCAAAGGAGGCGAGGTCAGGGTAGATAAAGGGGACGAGGAGGTGACTGATTGAGGCAGAGGAGGGAGTGGAGTAGCGAGCAACAATAGCCTTATACAGATCTGCAGCGGACTCGACCTGAGTGAAGTGGACTGCCTCGGTCGGTGGGAGAAGGTCGGTCAGGGCGAGGCAGGCAGCGGCGTCACGAGACTCCCACACGTCGCGAGCAAGAAACTGGCGCTGGTACTCGGCCTCCTGCTCAGGAGTAGGCGACGGGGTGGTGGGCAGCGGCCTAGGCTGAGGAGGGGCGGTCTGAGTACCGGATGCGTGTGCGAACAGGTGCACGCCATCCTGCCGCTGGCTCTTAAGGTGGCGCTGCGCCTGGGTAAGCCACGTACTAAAATCAATTGGTCTCCCCTCAGGGTCGAATCGAAGTACTCGAGTGGTCGCCATAAGGGGCGAAAAACGAGAGAGCGCGGCTACCAGCCGCAGGAGGGTGAGACAGTCAGTGGCACGTGGGCAGGCACGCAGGCAAGGAGGCGAGGAGGCAGTGTAAGAGGCGCACAGGGGGGGGCAGCACGGCGCGCTGGCCGGTGGGCGGCGCGGCGCGCTGGCCGGCGGGCGACGCGGCGCGCAGGCGGTGCGCTGGCGTGGTGCGCTGGCGTGGCGCGCTTGCGTGCGCACTGGCGTGGTGCGCTGGCATGGCGCGCTGGCGTGCGCGCTGGCGTGCGCGCTGGCGTGGCGCGCTGGCGTGGCGCGCTGGCGTGCGCGCTGGCGTGGCGCGCTGGCGTGCGCGCTGGCGTGGCGCGCTGGCGTGCGCGCTGGCGTGCGCGCTGGCGTGCGCGCTGGCGTGCGCGCTGGCGTGGCGCGCTGGCGTGCGCGCTGGCGTGGCGCGCTGGCGTGCGCGCTGGCGTGCGCGCTGGCGTGGCGCGCTGGCGTGCGCGCTGGCGTGGCGCGCTGGCGTGCGCGCTGGCGTGGTGCACTGGCGTGCGCGCTGGCGTGGCGCGCTGGCGTGCGCGCTGGCGTGGCGCGCTGGCGGGCTTGCTGGCTAAGGCGCTAGCGGGCCAGCTGGCTAAGGCGCTGGCGGGCCTGCTGGGGAGGGGGGGGGGAAGAGCCTAGAGCGCTGGCTAGGGCGTTGTCCAGGGCGGTAGCTAGGTCGTGGGCGAGGGCGCTGGCTAGGGACGGCATAGGACTAGGAACGGAGGTGACTAAGGCCTAGGAACAACGAACCTACTGCTGATACCATCTTAGTAACTGAGAACAGCGGAATCGCTTCCATTGATTGAGTTGGGGTACAAGTACCTAACCCTAATTGTTTGTACCCCATATAGTATGACCCACTAAGGGCAATAACATTTGACACTATGTTACCTACAGCTTACCCCAAGACACTGGCGACGTCAGCGACGACCGCCAACCTTAGCGCCCAATGTGGTAACATAATTTCGACCAATCGGAAAGGTTCACAGTTCGGGAGGGTACCCCAAGGTGACCCCAACTTTGGCGGGAAAGTCGATGGCGCGGTACTTGGTCGCAACTCTGTTTCTGCCGTGGATGCGACGTACCGGACTCCAAACTGCTTGGTAAGGTAAGTACACCCTGTACACCTCTTCTCTCAACCTGTTGGTATGATTGTTTTACATCTGATTCTGTTTTTATTATCGCATCGCTCAATATGTTGGAATACAGTGATGGGATGGGATACGTGGCACATTCTAGTTCATGAACCAATCAAAGCACTTCGATAGCACCTTCTTCTGCCTCCCCTCTCCCAGCAACTTCATTCTACTTAGATCGCCTTCCTGCGAACTTAGGACACGACAGCCCCCCAAAAGTGCACCGCACTGGTTCCAGCGTGGCAGCTCAAAAGATTTCCCTACGTGCTCAAACGTTGGGTATTTTTCAACGGCTTTCAACATATGTCAGTGCAATTTTGCAAATGCATACAGATGACGGGTTGACATTTTTCCTCCAATAGTTTCATTGTATGCATTCGTAACCACTCCCTGGAAAAATCTGCATGCAGTTGGGATTGACCGCGTTGGGGGGCTCAACCCACGTGCGACGTCCTCATTCGTCCCCCGCCACCTCATCACAAACCCAAATGCCTTCACACGTGCCGAGTGCACTTTTCGCTGTCCCCACTTCATTTTCGTAACTCCAGGAAGGCGATCTTATCCACACTGCTACTTACTCAACCCGTCATTTTTAACTTTGATTTCAGCTCATGGTACACACTTCGAACTGCTAGTACGAGAATCAATGTCACACGAGTAGCGCTGCTACGATTTTAATGGTGGTCACGTTTCGCGCTGCTACAATCGTACCTGGTACTTGCGGTTTCTTTCTACGTTCTCTCCGGTTGTATTATTCGTACCCTTCGCCTTCGTTTTGTTACCTCGTACGGTGTTTTTTTAATAACTAATAATTTCAATTCAAACGCGGTAAATGCAGTGCGGCGTCATGATAAATCATGGAAGCTTCTCAACACGGGAGTCCATCAATCCCGCATGTTAAGCGCCAGGAGTTTATGCGAGGTACGATAGTTGTCCGCGCTTATTTCTAACCCGGCGCTAGTGCGCTTTAGAGCATTCCGCACACTAATATTTGCACTTGCATTTGACCCGTGCCTTCGTCTAATGTCGCCATTGTTTGCAGACAATCCTCTCACGCAGTGGCGAACGGTGGCAATTACGAGTGTATCTTATTTCGAAGCCCTTCTGCACCCTTTCTAAGTGCACTCTCTCCACATGTCTGTGGAAGCTGCATGACTTGTGAGGTAAGAATCCTTCAAGGCATGTGGTATGTACATGCCCTGCGTTGCTTCTGTGTCGTTTGTTCCTCTTTTCGTCCTCTGGTGTGTTGCAGGCGCACAGTCATATACATGGCTATTGAGCTGTGCACGTTATCTGCATGTTAGAAAGTGTGGAATTGGTGTACTTGTGTCATTGCAATGCAATCATTACTATCAAGTGTATACATGATGTAATAATGGAAAGGGTAACATATGCAGAATTATAAATTCATCAATCAGAATGTAGTTTTTTAGTAGTAGCGGGATTGGAATGATGCTATAAAATATATTGAAACTCGTTTCTGAATGTGTCTGTATTCATTATACGGTTCTCATCTTTTTTTACGATTCCTATGTTATTTCTGTAGTATAAGTTCGTGTACTGTAGGTACAATTATGTGATGTTGGCGATGTTTTTCACAGCGAGGACGCGGCTCGCGTGTGATTCGTTCCGATAGGTTGGGAGGGGTTTCACGTGGGTCACCACCGGTGGGTGACCTCGGGGTCACCACGCGAAGTGAAAGCTGCAGGGGTTACCCGCAGGTCACCTAGACGAGGAAACCCGCCACAGGGTAAGCTGTGGGTAACCTGGGGGGAGGGTTTTGGCCCAATCTTTTTTGGGATGGCGGCTAAGCGCAAGGCAGCAGCCAAAAAGGCCGCGCAGCTCAACCGCACCGCGCAGGTCTCCGCGCCTCCCGCGGACACTTCCGCCAAACCCGCTCACCCTTCCGCCGCTTCCGCCAGTGCAGCCGCGGAGGTAGCAGCTTCCGCGGGCGACGGGAGAAGTGTAACACCTCGCTACCCACTGGGTCAAAACGAGGGTTATATTTGAGGCGCAGCGGAGGTCCTCAACCCTTACGTGTAAGCCCCACAGGCGTTACACTCGTCCCCCCCTGGAGCCAACGTCCTCGTTGGGCAGGGAGTCGGCCCTCGCAAGGACCTGAATCTCACTCTACAGCGACTTTGCTGGTGGGCCAGGCCAGCGGCGGATCGTTCACTGGGTTCGCGACTGGCACATTCACATGTGACCCAGCCGGGAATCGAACCCCAGGCTCTGAAACCAAATGTAACACCTCGCTACCCACTGGGTCAAAACGAGGGTTATATTTGAGGCGCAGCGGAGGTCCTCAACCCTTACGTGTAAGCCCCACAGGCGTTACAAGAAGCGTAGGTCTTGGGGAGAACGGTACTGCAGCTTGCGCTGACGCAGGAGCGACGGCTGGAGTAAGCACGTACTTGTGCCAAGGAGGCTGTACCCTTTCTGATAGAGGGTTCCGGGCTTGCACCGGAAATGTGACCCTGGAGTTTTGCCTATGGATACGTGCATGCTTAATAGACCTATCTGCTTATGGATAGGATTCGAGACATGTCCCTTGCCTTCTACTCCGGGTGCTTCTATTTTTCCGTGTGGAGAGACATGTTGAGCGGCAGTGATGGGTGCTGCTGATAAGGGTGGTGCTGGGAGGAGTGGTGCTGCTGGGAAGGGTGCTGCTGGCGGTGTGAGACGGGCATCATGATGGTGTGAGAGCTGACTGAGAACTGACTGAGAGCTCACTGAGAGCTGACAGCGAGCTGACTGAATGCGAGCTACCTCTACAACTCCCTGTCTGCTTGCGCTCATTGCTATCTGCAGTGTCCATCTCTGTGGCGCCTAAATATCTGTTATTCCCTGTCCCCATCTCTTCTCGCTCACTCACATGCTGCCTCTCGCATCACCCCATCCATTCCCATCCAATCAGATCTTGCGGAGACTCATGGGTGGCGGCACGAGAGCCGGGTGGCTTGCATCAGCAGCTACTGCTGTGGCGTGATAGTGGGGAGTCTCAGGGAGGCAGGACGCTGCATGTGGGAGTGGATGATGGGCAGCAACAGGAGCAGCAGCAGCCAATGGGAGCGCACCAGCTGAGAGATGCTCTGAAGCAGCATTTGGGTGGGATGTGCCTGCTGGTGCGCTTGGGGGAGACGACAGGGAGGAAAAGCGGCACCGAGGGCAAGGGGGTGGGGGGAAGATGAGGAGGGAAAGGGGGAGCAGGAGCAGGAGGGGGGAAGGGGGGTGCTGCAGGCATGGGGTATGGAGCGGCGGGGGTGGGGAGCGCGCGTGGGGGAGTGGCGGTAGACGGGAGAGACTGCAGCGACGTGCACAAGTTTGTGAAGAGGATGCGCCCTCTGCTGGACCTTGAAAAAGGTGAGCCACGCCCCCTACCCACCCTGTCTGGCCCGGCCTCTGAGGCGCCTAAATAGGGATTGCAGTGAATTTTGAGGGCGCTGCAAGAGGGAATGCAGCAATGTGCTCAACACGAGGTGAACTTTGGCCTGGCTCTTCCGGTGTTGTGTTGTGTCCCCCCGTGTTTACGCTGAGGTGGCACTGGCAGCGGAAGCAGCATCAAAACGCTCACTGGTGTCAGCAGAGCCAGAGGCCAAAGGGCGCCTCTGACTCACTGTGCCACCTGCGCTCCTCTCACTCCCTCCTCCCCTCCCTCCCTCACCCTTCCACGTCTCCTACACCCCACACCCCCTCCCCCGCCCCTGGTCCACCCCACAGGAAGCCGAGGTGGCATTAGCAGAAGAAGCAGCATCAACACGCTCATTAGCATCAGCGCAGGCTACGGGGCGAGTGCTGTGCCACATGCGCTGCAGCGACGCCACACCAGGCCTCATGGGGAAGACCTTTCTCTCCCTCATCTCCAACAAGGCCGGAAAGGGAATAGCAAGGGAGGTGCAGCTGCTGCTGGGGCAGACGCCGGACCTGCAGGTTCGGGAGCAGGCTCCGGTTCGCGAGCTTCTGGTCCGGTGCTGCCGCCGCACAAGTTCACTCCGCACGACGTGGTGGCGATACGGGCGAACAAGGCGGAGGGGGCGCAGGCGGCGATAGCCCAGGGGGTGGTGTACCGTGTGAGGGAGGGCTTGGATGCAACCGTGCGGATCGAGAAGGTGGCCAACGATGTCACGTACAAGTGCAGGTGCTAAGTCAAACGTTGGATGTGGTGTGTCTGCTTAGACGCCTCAAATGTTGGACCTGTTTAAAATCGACAGCCAGTGCCTTTCTGCCTCCCCACAAGCATCAACGAGGTCATGGCTCTGTTCAAAATCGTTGCAGCAGGGAGGTCTTTCAGGTGAATGTGAATGGGGTTTGATGGGTGGCGGGATCAAGGGGCAGTGTTGAGCAGCAAGGTTGGCTACATGATATGTTGCATCTGTTGTTGTGATTCGTTCGTGAGTCCGCTGTTTAGACGGGTTTCGTGTACCGTACATGTGAGTGTGAGCGAGCACTGACGGGCTGCATCAGTCTTACTTTCCAAGTTTTCGTTCCCCTTTTCTCACCCTTATTTTCTTGACTCATCTCCCTCCGCCCCGCCCAGCTAGTCTGCCACATCGATTCACACATGCCTCACCTCATCTTTCGTGTCCTCTTGTTGTGACCACCTCCCCACTCCCTTTCACCCAGCAACTCAACAGCTGCATCAACTCAAGTGCCACGACTCATTTGTGGCAATCCAAGATAGGGAGTTATGCCAAGTCAAACTCCGATGGAAACCATATTGGATGTGAAAGGGCGGTTTGTCAGAGTGGTGGGGCCTAACACGTGGTCAACATGGAAAACACGTGGTCAACGTGGTGGGGCCTAATATGTGGTGGGGCGGTTTGGACAGCGCAGCATGGAAATACATTTTGGCAGAAAAAAATGTGATTTTAGTCTATGTGAATGCAGTGAGGTTAGTGCGAGGATCAATAGTAATAATCATCCCGTGGTCCCCATTCGAAATAAGTTCCCGTTCCATACCAATCCGCATTCGTGCCTGCATACCTGTCCGCATTTCTGCCAGCACGGCCTACATTAGCCACCCCGCTCTTGGACAGATCCACATGCCTAAGCGCCTTGGCCTGTCTGAGCGAATCTGGCAGAGTCCTGAGTGCCACACATTCCCGTAGAAGCAGCATCTCCAGGCGCGGCAGCAGGCCCATGTCTGCAGGCAGAGACTGCAGGCGCGTGCAGCAGCTGAAGCCGGCCACACGGAGGGACAGCAGGCAGGGGAAGGAGGCGGGCAGGTGAGTGAAGGAGTCACAGTAGGTGATCGCCAGCCGGGCCAGTCGGGGCAGCGAGCCAAAGCCATGAGGGAGGGTGGAGAGCTTGGGGCAATTTGTGATGGCGAGGTGGACGAGGGAGGCGAGCGAGGAGAACGAGTCGGGAAGGCTGTGCAAGCGAGAGCAGGAGTGGATGGAGAGGCGTTGAAGGGAAACTAGGGAGCCGAAATCAGCGGGCAGGGTGACAAGACAGTCGCTGCCGGTGATGGTGAGTGTGTAGAGGCGAGGGAGGAGGCAGAAGGAGGGAGGAAGGCTGGAGAGGACTGTTGACCTCAGAGATGCTTCTTGCAGGGAGGTCAGGCCGCCGAGCTTTTCTGACAGAGAGGAATATGAACCCTCGATGGTCACCCTTGTTAGTGCCCCAAGGGATCCTAACCCTTGTGGTAAATGCTCCAAGTGATTGCACCTTTCAGGCAGCGGCTCTTCTCCTCTAGCCATCCTGCCTAACATGCTCATATATGGTGAAGCTTCCTTCTCCAAGACACGCCCTTTCAGCTCGAGCGACTCCAGCGCTGCCAGCTCGCCGATCTTTTCGGGAATGAAGGGCTCAGATTGTGGAAGGTGGGCGCTCCTTGTGATGCACAATTTGCGGAGTGCGAGCAGGCGGGCGAGGTGAGGAAGCGGAGAGGGGATGAAAACGTCTGTGAGGTGGAGCTCGGTGAGGGAGGTGAGGTGGGAGATGAACGAGGGCAGTGCGAGGCGCGGAGCGGGGCGCTTGCCTTCCTGCTGTCGCTGTCGCTGCCGCCGCTGCTGCTGCTGCTGCTACTGCTGCTGCTGTTCATCTCCCACCTCACCTCCCTCACTAGGGCAGTCTGAGGCGCCGCTGTTGCTGCCGCCGCCGCTGCCGCCGCCGCTGCCGCTGCCGCTGCTGCCGTTGGTGCCTCTGCTGGTGCTGGCGGTGGAGGAAGAGTCGGAGGGATAAGATCTGGAGGGATGGGGCGAGGAGAGAGAGGGAGTCTGGGAGGCGGAGGAAGCAGCCGGAGAGGGAGAGAGAGCGGAGGTTGGTGAGGCGGCCAAAGGCAGCCAGCACGAGACTTCTAGGCTTGAGATCGGTGATGGAGAGGTGCGTGAGCGAGCAGAGGGACCAGAGGTGGGCGGATAGGTAGCTGCCTTGCGGGCACTTTTCACCTAGGCTCAATTCTAGGTGCTGCAACGAGGGGCCGAGAGGCAAGCACCCGGCTTGAGCGGTGGCGGTGGCGGCGGCGGTGGCAGCAGCAGCGGCAGCAGCAGCAGCAGTGGCAAAAGCAGCAGCTGCACTAGCAGCGGCAGCAGCAAGAGCAGCAGCAGCAGGAGGAGCGGCAGCTGCAGCAGCGGCGGCGGCCGAGGCATCGGCAGCGGCGGCGGTTTCCAAAGCGAGGGCGAGAGGCAGATAGGCCAGCAGAGACCCTTTGGGCGCTTCGCCTTGCTCCACCCACGCCACCCTGTCAACGCTCACGTGCGCAAGCGACGGCAACACGAACAAGCCCACAGGAAATTCCTCCTTCCCAGTAATGACGGGCCGGAAAAGGGTTTTAACCGAGACCTTGAGTCGTTGGAGGGAGGTCAGTCAACTGCTGGGTCTTTCGTTTGAACAAAATGTGTACAATAGGTTCTTAAAACTGCACCGCTGTGACACATACCACATTTGTTAAGCTGACAGCAGTTAGCGAGCCATTTCTATTTGTCGAGCTGGATTTTGTTGGACACCTTAGTATGCCAAGATGCCATTGTGACCAACTGTTGCTCAGACGTGCGACCGGGTTGCTAAGTGAATGTCTAATCTGTTGCGAACACCAATAGAAAACCCTTTGTCATTGCTGACCACTAAGGGGTCGAATCAGAACCTTTGAGCCACGTTGGCGATTGCCTTGCTGGTTTTGAAACCTGACGTTGTAAGCCAGTGGCAGGTTTCGTCGCGAGGTGCATGCATCCAGCTACAGGTCCCATGCACCTGTGTGTTTGTCACCTTGAGCTCGTCGCACCAGCAGTAAGCTCTCATTCTCATTGACGAGCTATTACAGAAGTCACGATTGTGACTCCAGCCTTCGTTCCTTCTCACGTTCGACCCCCGTTCTTTCTCACGATCGAGACTTAGCTCTTCTCATGTTCGCGACTTGTTATTGCGTTCGTGATCTTTTTTTGGGTTGCGAAGCAACCTATTACAACGTTATGTACAATTTTTTTTCATCATCTTCACGTAAAAAAAAAAAAGATGAAATAAATATAGTGAACGGTAGCTATGGTAATTGACTCACTATGTATTTGCCACTTTCCTTCTCATTTCCTACCGGTAGTTTGCTTTGACTTAACCTATAATGTATGGATGAAACATGAATATGGGTTGGCCAATTGATGTTACTGTGAACGCGTGACTGTTTATTCCGTAATGCATATGCATGATTATGTTATCCATAGATAAAATATAATGATGGACATGTGAACCAAATATTGAATGAAAAATGCATAAAGATAATGCATATGCTATTGTGGTGAATGTAGTATTATTACGATATTAGTCTAGTGTAGTGACATGAATGCATAGCATGATAGAAATGCGTAACAGTTAATTGACCCAGACCCTATGCTACGGCATCCCCTGCCTAGCATGGGGGGGAGCTCAATAACATAATTTCTGAACCATCCAACTGCCACATGAAACAACACAATATGAATAATTTAGAAATATATTTCTAAATTTAATGATTGTGACAAGATTCGGAAAACGGGGAATGCAATAAGGAGGCATTCCCACCTTATCCCTCGGCAGGTCCACAGACCTGCCACCTAGTCTCATTTCATCATCTCAACTTGAGTTGGCACATTCTCTGTCCTATGGTTAGAGTTGGATCTCAACAACCCTCAACCCTCCTTCAAGACGTTTTTGCTGCTAGACTTCACGACATGGCGAGTGGTTTTATTTCTGCTGTTAACGGACGTCCTCCCCCTGCTCGCATAAACACTCGGAGCTCAGCACGTCGCGGATCGCCTAGGCGGGATGAAGACAGAACTTCAAGTTCTGGGAGGGAGAGGTCCCGTTCGCCGCGAAATGAATCGCGAGCTGCTGATTCTGCTCTTGATTTAATTGGTGCCGCAAATCACGGAACCAACAGGAACAACGACGACAATCTGTCAAACATTATACATGTTATATTTGTGTAGGCTATAGTGGGGTAGCTTGTAGGGGGGGTCACAATTCTAGGGTTTCATATTTGTACCAATCTCACTGCTAGTTCAACCATTCCAGTCCGTTCATTCTGACATGGTTTCAGAGCAGGTCCTTCGCTAGGACCTAAGTTCTCTTCGGGCCCACCACTACCTACTACCTACTACCTACTAGCGCCCTCGTGCGCCCTACTATCGGAGTGCGCTTTAGCGCCTCCCCCCTTAGCGCCCTCGAGCGCTTCTTTTTTTTTTTTTTTCCCGGCCCCGCTGGCCCCGTCGATCGCGCCCCGCTTAGAGGCCCCGCGGCCCCGTCGCGCTTCGCCTAACGGCCTCGCGGCCCCGTCGCGCCTCGCCTAGTGGCCCCGCTGGCCCCGTCGACCCGCGCGCGCCCCGCTTACGGCCCCGTCGACCCCGCGCGCACCCCGTCTAGAGGCCCCGCGGCCCCGTCGCCCGCCACCACACGGCCCGTCGACCCGCACGCGCCCCGCTTACGGCCCCGTCGACCCCGCGCGCACCCCGTCTAGAGGCCCCGCGGCCCCGTCGCCCGCCACCACACGGCCCCTCGACCCCGCTGCGCCCCGCTTAGAGGCCCCGCGGCCCCGTCGCCCGCCACCACACGGCCCCGTCGAGCCCCGCTTAGAGGCCCCCGCGACCCCGTCCCGCCCCTCTTAGCGGCTCCGCGCAGCCGCGCAGCCCGAACCGAGCCGCGCCGCCCTACCTGAACCGAGCCGCGCCGCCCGACC